GTCAAAAAGTTATTAAAGATATTCAATCTGGAACCTCACATCACCTCATTCAGAAGCAAATGTTCACAAACTCTCTCATCTTAATCTTCCAGTTTCAATAAGCAGTGGCAACATACCACATCGTATCCTTTTTACGAACATGTAATATGAGTTTTAAAGTGTATTGATAATGTATTGTGTGGTTTTGAATTAGAAATCATGAACAAGTACATGTTTCATTTTAAGATTTGAGATTTTCTTTTTAAATCTCGAAAGGTATTTACGATATTAATTAAGGACAATTTATACCTGATATGAGGTAGGTATTGGGCCATGTACCTGGCATTTCAATAAGTATTTTAATTTATGTCAATACAATTTAGCCCACATCTTTATTTAGCATTGTGACTATCCACTAGCATTACATATGAAGTAGGTGAGGTTTGATTGGGCTCAATTACAGATTATTTTCTACAAAATAATGTTGTGATTCTTTTGTTATGCTTTGTTTGAACTCTATTGGCCAATTTAGTCAAATACATTTTAATAATATATGACTTACTGTTATGCTTTATGAATTGGGGTGGGCACATTCATGAGTTCTTGTTAGTTCTCACAGTAACCTTTGACATATTTTAACTACAGGATGAATAGAGAATATTATTTTCTTATATGACAAGAGTAGAAATGTATGCATAGAATCAAACACTTCAGGGCATTATCTTCCCAACACAGGCATCTGAAAACATGTGTCACATATTTCTGTGGGCTTATTATATCTGACGAACGTTAAACAATGGCCACATCTGATAATATATTTCAGGCCTGCAGTCACTGTCAGGTGACGGGATGTTGAGGTATAGTAAGAGGAGAGCTAGTAAATTTCCAAGAGGGATGACATTACCGGGGAGTCCCAGTCATGGCCTCATCCTGACACGTGGTCGCGACTGCTAACCAATGAGCACGAAAGAAATAACAGGGCGTGTTTTCCTGTAGAGGGCGACAAAGCTGTGCACCCTCTGGTGAATGATTCACCAGCAACAACCAAGAACATGTGAAAGTACGGAGCTTTGCATGATGTCATCACTTAACCTCGTAACGTGTCTCGCCAAATCCACTGAGTCAGTCACGGAAATGGTATCCACAATCTTGGTGGTATTTTCCATGATACTTTGAAAAAGGGGACTTTTCCAGTGTTTCTTAGGAGTTCATATTGCATTATGTTTCCTGCTGTGTGGCTCTGATAAAATGGCAGTGTCGAGCTCAGGACATTCAAATATTAGATTCATATGAATATGAACTAATAGTCATCAATATAATATAAGATCCATACCATTTTGAGTAAACACAGGCAAGTACAGGAAACTGCAACATGAGAGTTAAATACACTTTAAAAGGTTTCATACAGGCAGCGACAACAGATTATCTGCAACATCAAAAACAGGCAACGCCACATTAATAAAAGTATACTCTGGGTTGTGAGAACAAATCTGCAAGTTGTGCATTTATTACACATAAACTACTGCTCTACATGGGAGCAAAACATCACAGAGTTCAGGACGTCACGTTGTGATTTTATGTTTGTATTGCTGCACTAAAGGACACTGATTCAAACAGAAACTTAACTAAATGATTTGTTGTGCCATGCCCGACCTTGCTAGCAGCAGGTAAATTTCCAAACTATGGTTCCTCCCTGACTCCTCCTCCTTTCACTTTCCATGTGATGCAGGGGGATGTTTGTGTTTTGAAGACTCACGTGCACAGCGTTTTAAAAGCAGCCAACTCTCCAACTACATGACAATTACACGAAGATACAGACGAGAGCACATCTTCTATCAAAACCTTCAAACCTTCAAAGTACCTTCTGCCTCTTCAAGATGGTGAAAGAGAGTGACAACGGGAACTCTGGTGAGATATCTCTTCTTTGGTCTTTACAGTGACTTCGTATGCAATTTACAATACTGCTTTAAATGTCAACAAGACTCTCTGTTATTAACACACTTTGTCAAGTTACATTTAAGAAGTCAGAATGAATATAGTCAGTTTTATATTATTACTAACTTAATACTAATAATTAAAGTATGTAAATAGTAATTCATTCACAATTTTTCATATTAGTGACACAAATGTTGGTGAAAGGGATTATTTTATAGCTCTTATCAATATTTTTTTAATAAAAAAAGTACATGACTTTAGTATGAAAAGAGTTGTTAGTTCAGTTTTTATGCATATGTGCATCATGAAAACATCCCTACTTTCCTATTTTTTCAAAAGGCTACTGAAAGTCTCGTCCATTCAAGTTATTGTTACTGTTAAGAATCGGATTAGGTGAGATCCAAAACAGGAGCGCGTTGATAAGTGATGTAAAACAGATAATGAGCAAACGAGGAAGAAGACTTAAAAAAGCCACACGTGGGAATTCAGGATTTATATCCTGTGCTGTAAAGTGTGAAATGAAGGAGATGACTAGAAACGACATGTTTTACTGGAAATGCTCAGCTTGTCACCAGTGAGTGAAAGGCTTCACATACACTACATAGTTGCTTAACGCTACCCATGCATTAGTCATATCTGCTAGATGTGTTCCTGGCTAGTTATCATTTACTGCAACTCGTCCTCTATAAAATAAACTGAAGTTATGATTGGATACAGTGTTCACTTCCAAGTATTCATCTTTATATGAAATGCCCATCTTTCTCTGAAGTGAAAGCTTGTGTGTGTTACTTTCATAATTGCATAAGTAGTTGTAAAATGTCATTCAGAATCAACTTTATCACTCTATTACCATGAATGATTAACTAACAATCTGTTAGATGCTGTGATTACAGTGCAGATGTAATCTACATGATTAGAAATAATCAAACAACAATAAGTGAACCTGGGTCGCACATCAAGATTCTTAACCGTGTTGTTGCTCCTTTGCAGTTGTTGGGTCAGAGACGTCCCGCAGATGTGGCCAGTCCTGCCTCGGTCCTTTGACCTTCCACCCTCTGGCTGTGGGAGACATGGTCACTCTGAGCAATGGGTGTCGACGCGCAGAGAGGACGAGGAACACGTTCAAGAACGGCCTGGTGTTCAGCAGCCGCCCGGTAAAGATCCAGGAGAAGATTCGTCTGAGGGTTGAGAAAGATTTGTTCAACTGGCAAGGAGCTATGCGTGTGGGCTTCACCAACGTGCCGCCCTCGGACAGATCTCTGCCTCTGCCCATCATGGCCATCCCCAACCTCACTGACACCCAAGGGCACTGGGCTGCCCCAGTGCCTGAATCCCACTGCCAAGCAGGTTCAGAGCTGGAGTTCTGGCTCTCTGGTAAAGGCTCCGTATACGTCACAAGCCACAACATCATGCGGCACAAGCTACTGACAGGAGTGAATCTCAGCAAGCCGCTATGGGCCATGATAGACATCTATGGACAGACATGCGCCATTTCCCTCCTAGGTATGTTTATTACTACAAGGGTGTACGTTTGCTGTGCAGCCTCTTTTTATTGTTCTTACTTGTTTCACATGCACTGACAAGGCCAGGTTAATGTTTCCTTGTTACTAAAATATTTGATACTCTTTGCTGCAGGCTCAGAGAAAAGGGAGCTGTTTCACACCAGACGGTCCTGTCCTGCACCTGAACACCTCACCTCACCTGATGCAGATAGCCTCAACAGTTTGATTCCTGTCTCAAGCCTCCATGGAAACAGTGATGAAAGCATCTCCTGTCTTGACATGAAAGTCCCATCAGGTAAGAAAGAGTCCTTCCAACCAAATGCAACCAGATTTCAGTGATTTCAGTGCATATTTGTAACCAGGTAGAACCTATCCCTGATGACAATCTTGTAATTGTGATTCCTTTGATTTGATTGCAGATGGAGGCAACGTAATGGACTGTGTGGTGTGCATGGAAAAACAGGCCAGAATCACTTTGTCTTGCGGCCACCAGTGTTTATGTAACCGGTGCGCTTTTAGAGTCTTCCAAACGTTTGGCACATGCCCGCTGTGCCGATACAAGATCAGCGCTTCATCAGTGGGGGGCGTGTGAGGTTTGTCTCTGGGCTGTTCTAAGCTCCAAGACAACAGGAAACACCAAATACAAGCTACTGAGTGACTGTGACAAAGAAAACACTTTGAGTAGCACCTACTTAATGTTGCCTGGTAGCTGCATCAATCGAATCCCAGCCAGGAACCTTTGTCACATGTCATTGAACTCCCTCAAATGTTGTACAGCATATGTGTAAGATAAGATGTACTGAGATGTTGAGGTGAATACATGAGCTCATCGTGTGAAAGAATGTAGGAAACTTTGATGCTTTACTACATTTTTTATTGTGATTGTTAAATATGGATAGAATCAAGCATGTAACCTTTTGATGAAGCCAATCAATGACAAATACTTTTTTGCACTCATTTCAGCACAAAGTGTAATGTCATTTACAGTCACTGCACAGTGTATTTTGCCTCCTTGATGTTGTAAATATTGAATGAATCTCTAATTTTGTAAAAAGAAAAGTAATAATTTATATTTTTATATTATTTAATTGTCAAAATATGACAATATCAATAAAACGTTTTATATTCATAACAAAATTGTCTTTTATATTCTTATTATCAAACCTACAATGTGTGTGTGATACAAATTTGTAAATGTTCTTTGTCTATTAACTTATTAAATTGATATAACTGTTAGTTATCCAATGAGATTTTCATTTAGGAGAAAATTTGATAAAAGAAGTTGACCTTGAGTTTTGTCAACAATGAACCGTCGAGCTCAAAATAACAGCATGTTGTCCGATAAGGGCACATTATTCATGTTGCAAAGAATGATTGTAATTTCAAAAAGGAACACAATACTAGCGCATGACAGAAATCCCGAGTCTCTCCAAACCACGTGCACATTACAGACCACTGTTGAACTACAGTCACTAATCATTGCTCAGGTTGCAACAGGAGCCTTAAAATAATAGTTGCTGTCTCCAGACTTACGAATACACTGTTTACATTTAGAATTATTCTTATTTGCATCAATGATGTAGCATATCTTCAATAGGTTCCTGAAATGTGAAAGTGCAACAAGCTGTCAAGTTTCGTTATTACTTGATGTAGCCGTAAAAATCTAAATAAACTTTATCATTGCAGCAAAGCAAATGATTAACAAAGCCGGTTGAAAATAAAACAAATTACAGGTGAGGTGTTTGAGTTCGACCTTAAGGATCAAATGTGACTGATACTGTCATAATCAAATGTTTTTCCTCTGTTTCGTGTTTCCTTTGACACTTTTGATCGTCTGCCCCACGCTGATTCGTTTCACCTGTTAGCCCTGCCCCCACACTTCCTGCTCACCTGTTCTCACTAAGTCTGTCTCCACATACCAGCCCAGCTCCTTTGTGCTTTCTTGGTTTGTCTTTGTTTCTGTTTGTGCGTGACTTTGCCTGGTGTTTCTGCCTTTTGGACTCAAAATCGGGATATTCCTGTACAGCTCATGGCATCACTTCCCGTTTAAAACGTTAATCTCAGAATGAGAAGAGATGATTTAATTGATATGTTATGAACTAATTTCCACCTGCAGCCCCTATAATTATCTCTCGATGGGGTCTAATTGGCAAAAGACTCCTGTTTCTTCACCTTTCCTATTGTGCACTCTGTGACAAATAGATTAATTGATTTGCTCTTTAATCCTCTTAAGGCAACAATTTAGGTGAAAGGGCATTAATGTTGGACCTCGCCCGTTTGACAAACAGATTCCTTTGCAGATGTAATCTTCCCGATGAGTTAAACCTGATCTCCGATGCAAACACAAGGTTTGTCTACGTGAGTCTCATGGCATGCAAAGGATATGCATTACAGTAATGCATATTGTCAACACGTGCGCAGCCAACTCTTCAAGTTCATGACACGTGCACAGGTTTCAGTCATGTATCCCCTGTGTGGCCATGGAAATCTTACCAGATTA